TCTCTCTCTCTCTCTCTCTCTCTCTCTCTCTCTCTCTCTCTCTCTCTTTGTACCTGAAAAACTTCCATGAATTCGGTTACAAACGGAGTAAACAAATTTTGCAAATGACATGAACCGGACAAAGACTGCAAAACGCACATATTTTAAGAGAGTTAGTTCGGGCGGGCAAAGCATTTTATGCAACGGAATTACAGTGCACGTGTTTAATCTTCTGGACACAAAAGCCATTTATTGAGACACGTTTCACTTGTTCTTTCCATTTGTACGTCTTACTTCAATTAAATAATCATGCTGTTGTAGAGTGTCTCACTCTCTCTAGCTGTCGTTCTCGCTCTTTCCGCTGTCGCAGTGTAATTTGCACTAGCACGCAATGGCAAACGTTACAGTAGTTGGCAATGCATGCCATGACTTCTTTGTACCAACAGCACCAGCAGCATAGTAAACTGTGTTGTTTTAGATATTCAAAGAGCGTTGTGAATAATCGTATGTATATGCTCAAGAGTGCTCGAGTGCTTACGCGCACGCTCTCAGGTATGTAGCAACATTCAATTTCAGAACAAACAGCAATTGTACAGCAAGCACGGTACAAGTAGCCAATTAGAGTTTTCATCTTTTTTTGTTCTGTTCAGTGCAGATATTGTGCGTCATTATGGCATTTTCACACACAGCAGCAGCAGCACTAGCATATAATAAAGCGTATTTAATGCAAAATGCTTAATTATCGTCATTATAATAAAATGCTTTTGTTTGATTCATTTTCACCGTTGGTGCTGTTTCGCTGCTTTGGCTGCTTTTGCTGCCGCGCACTTGCACAGCCAATTTGGATAAACACATACTCGAAATTCTGCTGGTGAAAGAGAATTTTTAAATGGAAAAACATGAACTCTCTCACACACACATACACAAACACCTATTCGGTCCATTCACGCCGTGCCCGATGGCACACGAGTCAAGTGGCGGTGCTGATAAAATCTAGCATCCGCATCGTTTATGATATAATCCAAAAGTTGGTGTCACTTATCATCATTTTTTTCTCTCTTTCTTTTGTAGGTCAAGGTGTTGGCCAAAGTGTGAAGTACCCTCTTTGGTTGTTGACGCTCTTTCCGCTTCGGAAACTTTTTATTCAAGTATAATTAGATACGAAACAAAGATTTTCATTTTTTTTTCATTTTATGTGTGTTTTTTGTTTAAAAAATTATCATGGGGTAAAAAGTACACAAAAGTATTTTTTTCGGTTTTCCCACTAGAGAAAAAAGACACAATCCGAACGAAGCAAAGTCGCATCGCACACACACACACGTATTTTGCATGCTAATTGGCTAAAGAACATAAAATGCGCGAACTCAGTACGGTTTAATCAATTCAAATGATGTGCAAGATGTTGCTCACACTCTCTCACAATCTCACTCTGGCCCACAATCATCCATGCAGCATCCAATTCGCAGACAAAGAAGTTTTCTTATCTTTTGTTTCCATAAACGTTTTTCGCTGGCGAGACTCTCCCATTTCTATTTAGTAATTTTGCCGTTTTTGACGCTCAAAAATTTACTCTTGAATTTCGCACAGATATGTTCGACGGTTTATAGAAATGAAAACTTCGAAATGGTTCAATATACGTACAAATGCATAAGTATGTTTATTTGCAAAGCGTGATGTACACAAAAGGCAGAGAAAAACAAATAAGCAACTAGCGAATGTGTTTGTGCCATGCAGCGATATTTCATGGGATATTTATTAGTTTCTCATCCGATCATTAGCTATTCAACGGATCTTGATAACGAAAACTCACTCATATCATATTCATCATCAATGGCGCATCGAACATAAAAACAGCACAGCGCCGACGACAATGGAAATTATGACAACGCTAAAATATAAAACAATTCAAAAACAGTAATTCAACTGGTATCGACCATTTTTCTATATTCATTGTGTTTTATCTGTTTTTGTCAAAGGGATATTGCAACTTTTTTGACCAGAAAAAACGCCATCTTACGTCGTGCCCGTAAATTATTTTACTGTACATTTCGATGGTAGAGCTTGAACAAAAGTTCAACACTATGCATAAACTTGGAAAGAGCTTGATAAACTTGATGAAATACATATATTTTATGGTAGTTGCAATACCCCTATGGTTTTTGTGTTTGCTGCTAGAAACTTTTGATTTTGTTTGCATATATATATGTTCATCCAGTGAGATTTTCCATTTATTTTTTCCATTTGTTTAATTATATTACATGTAGTACTCTCAGTTTCAGTGGAGTTTTTCACATTGATTTTTATTGCATTTCGGTTTCACCGCATTGTTTTCGCGTTTCAACTTTTTTTCTTCTCCGTATAAATATCTTCTCTTTTTTTACATATATAAAATTTGAATGTAATCGACCGTTTCGTGCGGTTTTCATTGAAGCGATTTCAATTGATGCTTACCTCTCTCTCCGTATCTCAAAATTAAACGAAGCGAATTTTATTCCATTGATGATTTCAATAGCTCGTTGCATATGCATCCATTTTGATACCGTATCAACGTACGCTATTGTCACACATTTTCATAAACTGTGACCAAAAAAAAAGGAAATAAAAAAGCAAACAGAAATTTAATTATGCCATAAAAAAAGGAACAAGAACAACGCTAAAAACGACAAACAAATATTACGACGAGAAATAACAATGAGTTAAGAGTACGGAACTATAAATTTATATGCGAATAGAAATAAAATGAAGACAACGACAAATGAGAGAGAAATATGTATATTTTATCAGAACAAAAACTCGGTCCACGTTCGGTCGATCTTCACACCGCGTTTGACCGTTGATTTTTGCGCTTCATTTAAACTTGACACACGGTGTAATAGCCATAGTAAAGAGTGCAGAATATGTGTGGCAATTTCTGTTTTCGTCTTGTTTATTTAAATTTTATGACCTTGACTCGTAACGGCTTGTTTCGTAGACCAAGTGCCATTTTGTCACAAATGTAGACGAACTCAACTATCCATGAAGTTTGAATTGGCCACGTAAAATTTCTTCGTACACCATGTCTGCGATGGTATCGCACTGCAAAACGCTATTATATATGACAAAAACGAATCTGGTTGTTACGCAAAAAACGGAAAACTTTGTATCAATTAGCAAGTGTTAGATTACGTAAATGTGCAGTCAGTGTTTATTGGAAATATATTAAACTGAATAGAAGTGATGCTTGAAATCAATTGCATTAGATCAACTCATCATGACTTGAAAATTTTGATTCATTGCTATGATGATTAATTCTGAGATGAAGCATTGAGCATTTGCAATAAATCCACAGGCATCGACGTTACAATTATCTCTTCAACTACAAATTTTCAAATGATTTCGTTTACCATCGACGATAAATCACTCAAAATGCACGAGAGCATGTTTCATCCGATTTATCTCTCATTCTCCCACATCCAGATCTAGTTGCACATATTGCATTCATTTTTAACTAAATGTCTATTCGATCATTTAAACATAGTCATTGGTTTCGGTTTTCAGCATATTTCTAACGTAATTATAGACGGTAGAACCTTAAAACGAATGCAATTATCCACTTATCAATATTCATTCAATTCACGGCATTTTAGCGGCTCGACGTCGTTCAAATATCTGTGGTTTTAATCTATTGACCAATAAATTGGCAGATTTACTATGAGGGCAAGCGAATAATGAAAACAAAACATTACAATTTAATTCAGACGAATGATTTCGACAGTGAAATATAATTGATCCGTCATCTAAAGTATCACGATTTTGGAATTAACTCTCTCGGTGTTTTTGAATATATATTTTTTTTTTTCAACTTTCAAGACATTTCTGACATGAAACGAATTTTATTTTCATATTGTTATTTTTGGCGTCTCACATTCACATTTTCCAGTTGCAAGGACCTAAATACGTTTAATTTTTACATTCACCATGAACATGATATAGGCTTTCAAACACAATTTTCATGTTGTGTATCAAAACATTTTTCTGTTTCGTCTCTGTTTGGCATTTTGTTTGATAATTAAATTAACAGAACGAAGTGATATTTTTGGTAGAGAGTCAGTAGCATCGACCTTGACAAAAGTTGCGTCGTTGAACTATACGACAAAAAAAAAAACGAATTTTTGTCGTCGCACAACAAATCTTCGTATCACTTATGCTGCTTATTTTTATTTGGCAAGACAACAATTGCTTACACTAATTGTAATTGAATGTCTCGCATGACTGAAACAAGCAAAACCAAACGAACAATCATTTCCTTTGAAACTCCATATTTTATTCATATTTTGTTTCGGTTTCGTATGAGTTTGAATTTCAATGATGGAACATGGAAGCGCAACTGAACAAATCACTTTTGTACGCGTTGTAAAATTAACGACATTGAATGATCACTCTTCCCTTATATTGTCACCGTTGGAATTTGTGACTCATTTATTTCGAATGATATTTTAAATCTATTTCACAATTTAAGTTCTTTATTCTCTTCAAATTCTCTATGAACTGTTGATCGCAACGGACGAAATATTCATGGGGCGTCTCCATCAGATGGCGCAGCTTTGAAGTAATGTGCTTTGAAATGGAGAACATACTCTCGTATCATTTTGTTTTGACAATCGAGATGTGAGAAAATTATCATTTATTGGTTAGGTTACGCAAAACAATTCTGTTCAGTTTAATCATTTTGCAAAGCAATAAAAAAAAATTACAAACCGGCAAAATTATTTTGGAAAACGATGTCATTCCCGGATAAAGCAGCTCGAAAACAGTGTTGGGATGCACGTGACAAATACTGGGAGTGCTTAGATAAATATGCACCAGATTATTCGGCGACAAGCGGCCAAGAGGGACCAAAAGAGTGTGCAAAACTGCGGAAATTGTACGAATCCGGGTGTCCAGCTCAATGGGTCAAACATTTCGATCGAAAACGAACCTACGAACAATTCAAAGAGAAAATGAACGCCGGCTACGATCCCGTCAAGGATAAATAGTACAAAATATAATCCATATTTATCAAATTGTTACACATTTATTGATTCACAAATCGCATGATAAAAAAAAACACTGAAAATTTGATGTGAAGTAGACATTTAGTTAAATGAAAACTGAATAAAATAAACACTATTCAATTCTGTTTTGCGAATAAATAAATCGATTTGTTTATTTAAGGAAAGTTTCTTATGCTATTCTTGCATATGCTTCAAAATTGGATTGATCTGTGATTCTGTGACTGTCACTTGTGAAACGAACTTCTGCTGAACGAACTTGAACCGGCTTTTCAAGTGCGGGTATCGAGATGCATTGTTACAATGTGTCGTCCTGAAAGAGAAACAAAACAATATTCATTTGGAAAAGTCATCGAAATTTCAATTGACACATAAAAAAATTCGAAATTCAGCTGTGAAAAATCCAAATTTTATCTTCATCGTACATACCTGGTATCATAACAAGCCCCAGCATTCGTTCGTCACCACCACTCTTTGTGTACTCGGAACAAACACCCAGAATCACATTCGCATCGGAGTCCGTACACAGAAATATGCCAATCAATATTCGGCCATCGGTCATAACAATGCGCATGGAACGATACAGCCACAGCTGCAGTTTGGCTCGTCCGGGTGTGATTTGTTTGTTTTTGATTGCTTTTTCAATTTCATTTCGCTCCTGTGTGAGTGTGTCATTCGCATCAAAATCGTATTGATAATTGTCCATGTTGTAGATTTTGTTGTCTTCTCGGCTAATCGATTTCTCGTCTTCACAGTCAACACTAGATTCTTGAGATAAACTTGGTCGTGCTATTGCATCTGCATTTGATGTTGCTTCGATTGATTGCGATGTCGACGGGTTTTCCACACTCGCAACAGCAGCACCTTGTTCGGATTCCATAATCAAAAACTTGCAAATTTGACGTCAATAAATTAAAACAAAATTCCAATCAAACGAAATGAAAAAAATCGATTTGAAGTATAAAGCCACTGAATATTGTTTTTCTGCTGTCAGACACTTTGACAGATAAGTTTCGACAGATGGAGGGTACGTTCCATAATGAACGAATGAACAAAAACGAAACGTTCAATTTCGAAATTTACAAAAACAGAGCAAAACATATCAATCGTTTATTTTACAGAAAATAAATAGTTTCTCTTCAACGCATCTTATTCTAATGGAAGCATTTTTTTAATCCTTTGAAATAAGATTGATGGCTCTTTTTATAATACGATTTTCATTCGTGATCCGACAAATTAAACACATATCGCGTATGGATAGCTTTCTCAATATAATCAAAACAAAAAAATTGCGCTGGTCAATACAACGTTCATGTGTTGCATACAGAGATGACTTTAGCGCACTCAAGTGCGCTACAGCGGACCCCTAGTATTTTTGTTGTTTTTTTGTCCTTCTTTAGCTTTTTGGCTAGGATTTTTTTAAAATAATATTTTGTGTAAGATAACGAAGAAGAGATTACATTTTCTGCCCCCGGTATTCGCATTGTGTGGTCATATGCACCTAGTAATTATGCGCATTGGCTCAATTTCGCAATATTACGCAATTTCTACTTTTGGGGATTTTTTCTTCATATTTTACTAATATAAATGTGGTTTTTCAAAAACTGTTCTTTGTTATGTTATACAAAATATTGATACAAAGTTTTTTTTTGACCAAAATGGTAAAGTATAACGAAGAAAAAAACAAAAAAAAACAACACAAATACTGTGTTTGCACAGCAAATGAATTTTATAGCTGTACCTATGGAGTTTTGATTGATTCCACAACGTCCAACACTAGAATTGATGACAAATCAAACTCTTCATTTTCTGATTTATACTCGGATTCATTCGCTTGCTCTTTATCTTCTCCACTTTTCGCTTTGACATCGCCTGTCTCTCTCTGTGAGACTTGTTGTACATTAAAGCAAAATAGGGACAGTACTTTTTTAGGCTCAAGATTTGGTGTGTAGTCCATGTGGCATTTTAGAAAGTAGTCTTGTGCTATGGAAAAAAAAAATGAAGGAACGAAGGTTTGATCAATAAAAATTAGTGATTTCGGAAATAAAAAAGATATTCAAACATAATACCGAGGATCATTATAAGGAAAAATTGCAGAGCGAAAAGCAATTCCGCACACAGATTGGCAACGTCTTCGTTGAAAGGTTTTTTAATTTCCATTAGAACTTGAATTATTCGACCAAAACTCATTATAAAAAAAAGAAAGCGAATGACGGGTGAAAATTTGACATGTGGCCCATAATTCTGGATGAATGTGGTAAATTTGTTCTTTATCAACGCTTCTTTTCCCTCACGCGAACAAAAAAAAGCGAAAGAAAACATCTAGAAAAAAATAATCATTTGTCTTAATAAAATTATGTAATTTTATCAAAGGATATTTCACGTACCAATGAAATAAAGAATAAATAGTAAGACATCGTTGAAGAAGTAATATGGTTCGAATAAACTATGTATTGGAATTGTATAAATAATGATGGGTAACATTGCTTGAAGTGGTGCTCTCATTACGGCAGTTTTCCATAGAGACTTTTCTTCAATCTGAAAACTCAATTTTCGGTTGTATTTTTCTTCATTCTAATGGTTAAGGATTACATCTACACTCACCTCATAAACTGTCCAGTAAATTAATTGTAAATAATTGACAATGTTCATTGCCATGTACGAAATCATGAAAAACAGTAACAGGTTGTAAAATATAAACGAAAAGATATCTGCTTGGAAAACTGGAAGAATCTTCAGTATGACCGTCAAATTTAGACCAAGGCCTGTTTCGTACAGCACAAATAGAGCAATATAAGCCTTATATTTGTTACGAACCAACTCCATTTTGTAGATTGTAAAGTAAACTGTTTTAACATTCAAGAAAAACGATTATTTAGAAAATTTATTTCGCTTGTTCAAAGAACGAATGAATGAACAAGTATTTATTACATGTAATTACGTGTGCAAAGTACGCAGCTGCCAAAAATGTTGAAAATGGTAGATCCATTAAAACATACAACGATGGGACAGGACCAATAAAAAATAGGAATATAATCATCCACGTTATTGTTTTGTCAAACATTTTTCCCGTTTGCCATGTAAAATTTTTCCATGCTGCGAATGGGTGAAGATCTTTTAATCTTTTCCATGCTGCGAATGGATTCCGAGTATTTTTACAGGTCACTTTTTCTTCAACATTTCCGACCATTTTTTTCTTTCTTCTTGTAATATTTTTCTCAGAAACAACAGAAATCTAGTTTATTGATTTAGAGAATAACACATTTATTTATTTCGGGTTTATTATTTTTGCGTGTAAGCCTGCTTGTGTGTACATGCGTGCATTACTTATGCTCTGAGCAACTTGTGTGCGATTTATTTTTGACAGGACTTGTTTTCTAGTGTCAATGTATCCTTTGTTTAGGAAATGTCCTGCATCAAAATATTATCCCTAATTTCGGCGGTTCATGTTCTATCAGCCGACTACTCTATCTAAACGAAGACTGATCTACATTTATTTTGTTTGATTGTTTCTTGTGCACCTTATTCTATTCTGTTGTTCGGTAAAATAAGATCTATGCGACCGAAACAATGTGAACTGGTACCATAACAAGGCTCAGAACATTCGTTCGTCACCACCGCTCTTCGGAACAAACGCTCAGAATCACGTTCCACGCTATCCGTGCACAGAAATATGCCAAGCAAAATTGAGTGAATAAAAAAACGAAACGTTCAATTTTCGAAATTTACAAAAACAGAGCAAAACATATCAATCGTTTATTTTACAGAAAATAAATAATTTCTCTTCAACGCATCTTATTCTAATGGAAGCATTTGTTAATCCTTTGAAATAAGATTGATGATTGTTTTTATTATTCGATTGCCATTCTCATGATGCAATAGATTTAAACATGGATCGCGTATTTTTTCTTCAAGCAATGCCAGTAGCTCTTCGCGCAAATATTTCATCATTTCAGCGACCTATTTGAAAAACAAATTAATTTTCGATTAGATATTTGTGAGATTCCTTTTAATTCTTCAATTTTGAAAGGAATTTATGATTGAACGTAGGCAATTTTTAAACCAATTCCCAAAAAATTTAATTAAACTTCAGATTTACCTCAATTGATTCCGCTTGCATGATGATCCAATCGTCAATGATAATGATGAATTCGCCGCCGTGCATTTGAATGCGAATGTTGCGCCCAGAAAACAGAACGAGTGGCAATAGAGCGACCATAGTACAATCCCGAATGTAGATTCTCGATGTTTTCACTTTCTCCTGATAAACTAAAAATGGTGATGGGAAATGTCCCACTACGGAATTCACCGAAGCCGGATGAATATTTACATAACCATCTTGGCTTGTTTTAAATTTCAATTCACTAGCCAAAGGCTGACGCGGTACTGCTCCACCTGCGGTCATCGTAAAATTTTTCTCTGGAGTAAAAACTTTCACCACATTAGGATAGAGTGCTGCACACAACAAAGCGCCTAACAATCGATAGTTTTCTCCATTTGTGTTCATATCAAATCCACTCAATTCCAAAATGTTATCTCTTTGTTGGAAATTTCTTCGGCGTGTGCTTAAATCGGCCGGAACAAACCCGGAAGCAACCAGCAATTCCAAATATTGATGTTTGATTTCGACAATCGTTTCAAGTGTTTTGAAAGATAAATAGTTTTCGTCAGCATAATTTCGACCCGCCCATTTGCTTTTGTTGTTTACCTCCAACCATCTCTTGTACGCCCTGAGAATGGTCAAATGGTCACTGTTGCAAATGGCAAAACTTTTCTTTCGTTTATCAGCCTCGTTTCGTTTGTTAAATGGCGATACAAATGGTGATTTGTAGCTCAAACATGCAGCAATCGTAAGTACACTGTCCACACTCTGTTGAATGGAGAAAAATTGAGTTGAAATTTATTGTATTTAATTTGTGTTTAATGGAGAAAAAAAAAGTGACTTTACCTGAAAAATGGCTCCGAACAGCATCAGTTTTCCAATACGAACGTCGACTGGTAATGTGGCCAGAATCTCTCCTAAAGCCGTCAATTCGTCATTGCCATCGAAAGCACCGACGTCTTCCAAACGTTTTATCGCCGATAGAACTGATTCTTCACTCGGTGGCTCCATAATGTTGCCAATCACCTGTTCAATCCGAAGTTCGGCAAAATTGGGAAGTGTTTTTATTCTCAACAGCAATTGTTCAAGTGGCACACGCTTTATCTCTGGTATCGGTTGGGCTAAGAAATGATTGTAGAATCGATGACCCGTGAATAAATGTATACAAATTCC